CCACCCCTGAGCTCCATCTGCCGATGAAATTGGCAATAACTTCCCTACCTGAATCATCTCTCCTTCTTCAAGGTGTCTCAGTACCCACATCATGCAGATACAACCTCCTTAGTAAGTGTAACAATTGTGAACAGCAAATGTTAACAAGAACATCCCAGGTATAGAGTGTAAATACAATTTTTTATTTATTTTTTTATAAAAATAGATTTAAACATATCACATTGTGTGCTGTCTTGGCTGAGTAACGGTAGTTATAAAATAAATTACGTCCCAACAGAACGACGGCTGTAAAGTGCCCAGAAACAATTGTGAACAGCATGTGTTCACAAGGACATTTGAAAAAGTGTAAAAAAAGTATTAATACTTTTTGTAAAATATGCCGTCAGTTTTACCTTACTTGCAGGTTCGACAGCTAGTGCTTCCCGTCCAATAAAACTTCTCTTTAATGCATTCTCAGCCAGTCATCATGTTAAAAATTACATTGATAATGATGAAATATTCACTTTCAGACATTGATTATAGCCTAATTGTAGGTTGTTAAGGCTGTGTTCACTTAATGCAATGGTACAGAAATAGATAAATAGGGATATTAGTCCCAGATCTTATTTCATGCTACATCTGTCTCCTTGGCTCTTCTTCTTGACATGCAGATACTGGGAACCACTATCAACCTGATGTTTAAATGCCCTGATCAACAAAATACAACACATCCATAGTGTCTATGTTCTTCCACATTCAAACCTAAAGCTCAGACTCAAACGGAAGACAGAATAATGATTCAAGAACACATGAATGCACCATTAACCTGCTGTTCTATTGACTCTAGTCCGATTTAATCAACTCTCCGTCATTCATTCAGTCCTGTTGGGTGTGTAGACGCAGCTTCCTACGTATTGATCGACCGCACCACTGTACAATGCATACAATCAAAGCAAGTGGGAAAAATCTTGGATTCATGAGCACTGGGTCCATTCAAAAGCCTTACCACGGTACATAGCGGACATTGAAAAGAGTGGTTGACATTGTTTTTGCACATTACAATTACAGCACTGACCCTATCACCCACAACTCTAAGAAAGGGCCCTTTATCCAAACATGTGCCCTGTGAGCCCTGCTTGACCCAATTGAATGGAGAAAGGCTACCATAGGATAATAACAAAGTAGCTGAGCTCAGGCATCACGGCTTGATTTATACTGCCAGTGTGTATTTTGTTGTGTTGCATGAAGAGCTAGGTCGTGTGTAGGCACTTGGTGAGGTTGTTATCAGAAAGTCTTCTTTGTGTCCCTTTGGAATTGACTAAACTTGCGTCCCATGAGGGTAGAAACAACTGCGATTAAGCAGAGCAGACCGTTGACTGTGTAGCTATCCTCCATAATCCCCCTGATAGAGGCTCTCATTTATATTCATTGGCTTTCTGAGTCACCCTAGCAGCACATCTCCACATCCGACATTTGTCTTCACGTCTGATGGGCTTTGAATCCTGATCGACCATGTGAGGCTCTCTAATATTTTTGAACAAGTCAAATTGAGAGATTTTAAACAGTTTGGAGAATATAGAGATTTGTGAGCGTCCTCCTGAATTCTGTGTATTTGATTTGATTTTAACACTATTTCAAGATCAGCAATTCTCTGTATTTTTTAAGATAGCCCTGAAATGTCTACATTTTAATGTGGCCAAGAAGAATATTATGACTGTTAGTTTAACATCTAGTTATCCCCACTGTTGCCCTTGCACAACTTTATTCTTTTGGTCTAAAAATGGTCTGAAGATGGTGAACAATTTCCGTCCGATTTTCCCCAATTTCAAGGTTGTGTCTTTAAAGGTCCCATGACAAGCTTTTCCGGTCATTACCCGTCCCCTTGTGTGTTATGTAGCTTTTTATGCATGTAAACGGTCTGCAAAGTCACAAATCCTCAAAGTACAACCTGTAGCGAGTAAAACTCTAACACAGAAAAGACCTTTCTATGCTGCCCCAGAACGCCTCGTTGGAGATTTTTATTTTTCCATTTTTTTTTTCCTGGTCACAGTGAAGTAACGGTCACAGTGAAGCAACGGTCATAGTGACGTAACGGTCATAGTGACGTAACGGCTCCGCGGATTGATCCATCACACACAGACACTCACTCAGCCTTATCTTTTCTCAGCCATCGTACTCCGCAGAGCTTCGCCGGCACACACACACTCAGCCTTATCTTTTCTCAGCTGCGGCTCTGCACACACACACACACACACAGCCAGCCTGTCTGTGAGTGTGTGTGTGTGCTCAGGCTGAGTTCCGCGGTGTCTCGCTGTCTCGCAGACCCCACGCAGCAACCAGGAAACTACACCAGTAATCCAGCTCACACTATCTGCTCCTCGAGCCTCAAAGGACGGAGCAACGAGCCCCGCAACGTCCCGCCAACACGGCACCCAGACCCCACGCAGCATTCTCATCCGTTTGCCATTACTGGTGTCATTTTCTGGTTGCTAACAAACGCCATTGTAACACATCATCACTGATGTTCCGCTGTAACGGTGGTAGACTCATCAGAACAGAGTGGGCGAGCTGACCAATCAGAGCACAGTGGGCTTACAGGGTGGGGGGGGGCAGGAGCTCCAACAAGCCGGTTAGGACAGAGTAAATACACATACTATACTGAGATGCTGTATGAGAAACCAATGTCATTTTGGATCATTGAACAATGTAAATCTATTCTAGTATACCTCAACAATGGAATTATGATCAGTAGAAATGGCCATGACATGGGACCTTTAAATGTGTCTTAAATGTTTTGTAAATCCAGAGCAAAAAATAATCTGTGTACTATATTATGAAAAAGAACAGTCAAGATATATCTGTATTGGGAGGCTGAAAACTAGGACTAAACTATTATTAGAAATGTTATCGAAATCGCAATATCAAGATGGCAAGAGACGCAAAATGTTATTGGCAAAATATATGAATACTATTCTGAAATGAAGAATTGTGGGGCTGCAAAGATTTCCTGGCCACAAACTCAAGAAAAGATCTTACTTTGGCACGAATCCTTGCAAAAAAAAAGACACCATAATCATTTAAATATTTTTCTTTTATAACATTTTAAATAATAATGCCAAAATGACATTCCATCTAATGTCACGAATCACACTGCAATTGAGATATTGGTCTAAATCAATGCAATTAGATATTATTTTTGAATGTTTCCGCCCTACTTAAAACTGCATTATCTGCTATTTTTGCATAAAAAACGTTATTGATTAATTGATAATAAAAATAGTTACCTGTTTGTTTTTTGTCGATAAACAAATCGTTTAATCAACTTATCATTGCAGCTCTACTGATAGGATACGTTCCATAGAGTTTCAATATATGTAACAATACATAAAGGAAGTTTTATTGTTAAAGGAAAAGAGATAAAGGTCGATTGTATGTTGATTCTGTTTTTCAATATGTTTCAGCTTTCTGTTATCTGTTGTGTTCAGCTTTTTGGAAAACACCTTGAAAGAGACTTTGCATTGTAATTGGACCCACTGATACATGTTCTCCCCCCCCTTTTGTCCTTCAGGATCAGAGGTTATTGTTGGGGTTAACAAGTACCGGCTGGCGAAAGAGGAGACCGTGGAGGTGCTGGCTATAGATAACACTGCTGTGCGCCACAAACAGATTGACAAACTAAAAAAGGTCAGTGATCCTTGACAATGAAAAAGATAAATGTGCCTCATCTAATGAAAAACACTGATGTTATTGCAGCCTTAGGCATTGCCACCACAATTACATTTGCATGCAAAGATAGGAAAACATTGGTACTGACTCACCAAGTAGAAGTGATGTGTTGCGATGCCCTGCTCTATAGTAAACATACAAATCATCCATTATTTGTGCGCTTTGTTTGTTTTGGTTTGTTACATTGTTGATAGTAAAGACACAGAAAATAGTGAAGGGAGTAACATGCAAAAGAAGTAGAGCTCTTACAAGTGAAAGTTGAATTACTGTTTATTATCTTTAAATGATTCTCATATTGATGTTGCAATCCACATTATATGTACCATAATCTGTCAGCACAGTATATTATCCATTTTTTTCAAAAAATCTAGAGATGTTTATCTAGTGATGGTTAAATGAATGTGCCTTAATTGTGAAGTTTGACATTTTACTATTATTTTGAATGCTTTATCAAATATCCTCATATTCTAATATCATCAATTTACCAAACCGCATGAAGTATATGCTAGAGAACAATGAATTACATTTAAAATCGATGATGACAGGAAGATAAATGAACCATCATTTTCTATACTCTACTTGAATTAATACCTACAATTGAGAAATAATTAATAGAGATCTCAACAAATGCAGTTGAAGAACTCTGTGTGTAATTCTTAGTTAGGGAAATCAACAGAACTACTCTTCCCATATTTTTCTATTTTTCTGTCCGTTATATGTACTTGATTTGAATGCACAGCGACCTTGCAGGCAGGCATAGAGCATACTGTATGTAAACTGAGAGGAGAGAATTCCTGTACCGGCTGTCATGGAGTTAAATATCTCTGGCTCACCGCTCTCGTTGGAATGCCACTGGGCTCGGAAATGTAGTTACATTCAGATCTGTCACGACAGGTAGAACAAAAACAAACAGGTGCTTATGGGAATTTAGGATGGATAGTTTTTGACAATGTTTTAGCAAAGCTTTAACTGTCAAAACAATCTGCAGTGATATTATAGTGAAAATAATTTATAGTGCGCCTTCATTTAATAGGATTGGTAAACAACTGAGGCTTTTTTAAATGTATGGACCCAGTGATAGAAGTGTTTGTGTGGGAACTGCAGACACTATACGTCATACTCCAAGGCTCAATCAATCAATCAATCAATGTTTATTTATATAGCCCAATATCACAAATGTTACATTTGTCTCAGTGGACTTCACAGTTTGTACAGAATATCAGTATGACAATACGACACCCTCTGTCCTAGACCCTCACATCGTACAAGGAAAAACTTCCAGAGAAAACCCACAGTTTAAAGGGAAAAATGGGAGAAACCTCAGGGAGAGCAACAGAGGAGGGATCCCTCTCCCAGGACGGACAGACGCGCAATAGATGCCGTGTGTAAATTGAAAAGATAATACATTTGCAACATAGGTAGTCCAAATGTTTGGAAATGCATGTGTGTATAATAGGAAGATGAATCCACGAGGATATCCATCCAGGACTTATGATCCAGGACCACAGCCACGACTCAAGATCCAGGACTCACGATCCATGACACAGGACCGCAGGATCATCCATGACTCCGGATCCCGGCGTATATAGACACCAAAAAGAAAGAAATTTGGGGAAGCTGGGTTAATCGGAACATGAGAGTACACAGGTATAGACAGAGAGAAGGAAGAAGTAAGATGTCCCCCGACAAACTAAGCCTATATCAGCAAAACTAGGGGCTGAATCTAATCAGCCCTAACTATAAGCTTATCAAAAAGGAAAGGTCTTAAGCGTACTCTTAAAAACGGATAGGGTGTCTGCCGCCCGAACACAAACTGGAAGCTGATTCCACAAAAGTGGAGCTTGATAAGAAAAGGCTCTGGCTCCCATTGTACTTTTAGAGACTCTAGGAACAACCAACAACCTTGCTTTCTTGGAACGCAATGCCCTAGTAGGACAGTAGGGTATAATGAGTTCTTTAAGGTAAGATGGCGCCTGCCCATTAAGGGCTTTGTAGGCGAGAAGAAGAATTTTAAATTCTATCCTGTGTTCTATAGGGAGCCAGTGTAAGGCAGCCAGAACAGGAGTAATGTGGTCCCTTTTCCTAACTCTGGTTAGTACACGAGCTGCAGCATTTTGAATCAGCTGATTATGCGGGTCGACTAATAGTGCCTCAATTTCAATACCATAAGTCAGAACAAGGTCGAGAGTGTGATTATAGCAGTGGGTTGGGTTTATTTACACTCTGACAGAAACCAACAAGAATCTAATATAGAGTTAAACCTGCAACAGTAAGGCTATTTTTATCCATCGTCAACATGAATATAAATGAATATTAAAGTCACCTACGATAATTACTTTATCTGTTTTAAGTACCAAAGTTGATAAAAACAGAGACTCCTGTAAGAATTATGAATAAGGACCTGTGCACGGTACACTGTAACAAATAAGATTGGCTGCAAAGTTTTCCAGGTCGGAATGCGTAAGGACTAAAAATGAAGGCTTTCAAAGGAGGTATAATCAATATTTGTTTAGTATTGATAAGTAAACTTGAGTCAAAGATTGCTGCAACTCCACCTCCTCGGCCCGTGCCTCGGGCAATATGAGTATTGATATGGCTGGGTGGAGTGGCCTCATTTATGCTGACATATTTTTCATGTCTCAACCAAGTTTCAGTGAGACAGCATATATCAATATTATAATCTGATATTAAATCATTTACCAATATTGCTTTAGATGCTAGAGATCTTATGTTTAAGAGACCACATTTAATCTTCCTGTTTTGTTGCACTCTAGTAGTTGTTACATTTACTTTTATTAATTAGGTTATTATGTATGACACCTCTATTAGGTTTTACCTTAAATTGTCCTTGGGCAGACACACACACCGTTAATATTGGGTATTTTATTGGGTTCGGGATTCCTATGGATGACTGCCTAGGAGAGAGCGCAGAGAAGCATGTAAGACTGCGACTCTGCCTCCTGGTCTCAACTCCAGTTTGTCATGGATTAAGTCCACAATGACAAAAAAGTATTGTTTAGGTCATGACCTACGTCTAAATTACTATTCAGGGGACGTCAGTTGGAGTGTCTGGGTTCAGGGTCTATGGGGGATGGGCTCTAGGGTTGTCAGTGGTAGGCCTTCATGACGTGCTGCTGCATGTGCCGATGAGTCACACATATCTGAGCCATTTTCACTTTCGATCTTTAACATGTTTTACTACATTTTAAAGTAAGTTCTCCCTTGGTATGTTCTTATTTTTACTGTTTAGTATTGTTAATTTCGATTTTTGCTCAAATATTTTATTTTAGCACCAAAATATCATAACATTAACTTATTGTGCTCAGTGGCTTGAAATAGTTAATTCCCTTATTTCCATCTTCTAATCTTTCCGTATTTATAATAGTTTTGAATCAGATCTTCTTGAAAATAATTCCCAAAAGTTATGTCGGAATGCCTTTCTACAGGGAATACAAACGGGGGAAACAAATGTTTTGCTTACCATACTGGCGGTGATAATAATAACTTTGATTAATAATAATGGCTGCATTCCATTTCGCTCAGCCATTTTCTTTAGCACTCAGTGATCTTGTTTTAGTCCTAAAGATTCCTTAAACACATTATTTTATATATCTTTATACATTCATATATTATTTATAATGAATTCTATTGGTCTTAAAAATGTTGTTGGAAAAATAACTTGTTTATGACTCCTGTCTCTTTCGCAGGTGAGGGAGACTCGTGACCCAGAGGTGGCAAATAAGTACCTGGCAGCCATTGAGGAGTGTTCCCGAACCGGAGAGGGCAACCTTCTCGGCCTGGCTGTGGAGGCAGCACGAGCCAGGTCAGAACTCCCTCAGTCACTAAAACCTCTAACTGTACTGACCATCTTTTTGTCTGTGCATCTTAAAGAAGACACATTATGCTCATTTTCAAGTTCGTATTCATATTTTGTGCCTCTACTGTGACATGTTTCCATGCTTTAATGTTCAAAAGGTCTTTATTTTTCTCATACTGCCTCTTTTCACCCTCCGTCTAAAACCAGAGCTCAGTCTCCTCTGATTGGTTAGCTGGACAGCTTTGTTGTGATCGGTCAACCGCTAGAGATGTGTCGGAAATGTCCCACCCTTACCATATCACATAGCATTTGTTGGAGCGCTAGCCAATAAAAGCACGAGTATTACATAGTGATGTCATTATGTTAGGAAGTAAAACAATTGGGTCAAATAGAGACATTTCCGGGATGTTAGCCTTTGCAGAGCATTTACACAGCTATACAGAGAAAACCCCAAAAAGCATAACAGTGGCTCTTTGAGCTTTTAATATTAAATGTTGTGATGTATTCCTGGAATAAAGAACTGGAACACAAGGAGAACACTGGAGAGTTTTGAGCTGAGGTCAGACACTGAGGATTTAAAGTTACGGAAGGAGAATCGACAAGACACTTGCTTAGACACATTAATAGCTCAAGCCTGAGATCCTCTTGCCTTCTTCTTGTTATTTATGTCATCCTAAGAGAATATTCAATATTCTATGACAAGATACTAGAAGTTCGGTCCCTGGTATCTGACAGGTATCCACCTCAGGACTCCCAGAGGTCCCTCCTGCTCTATGCCTCTCTGTCAACTTTGTCCTGGTATTATCGGTCGAGCAGATCCCGGAGGAGTGAGAGGAGAGGGAAAGGCTAAATTAATTAGAATTCAGGATCCAGATAAATAATTCCCTATCAAATGTAATTGCCTTAATGTTCACTCATGGCATATCGTTTATCCATTGTGCATAATACTTCACAAAGATGTTCTCTGATGATCTCTGACTGTGTGAGAGAAAGTCCCCCTTTGTTTCAGACCAACACTTTAACGATACCTACGCACGCATGCTCCGTGCAGTAAAACAAAAACCATCTTGATAATCATATTTTTTCTTCAATGCTCTTTTTGTTCATCAACCTCTGGCAAAGTGTCTGGCTTAATGTTCATCTTACTTGAGGCTGTCATGCGGAAAGTCATGTTAGAGTCAATCTCATCTGTGGCAATACCGCAATTGTAGGAAAACTATGTTTCTGTTTAGTTGGATACTTAAAAATCTGATTTTAATCAAGTAACTTTAAAATGAGATGTCTGAAATTAGCCGTGTAAGTAAATAGTGATTTTGTTAATTTAATTTTGTTTAAACATCTATTTTTTGTTGTTGTTAGAATACCAAAACCATTACTATTTCTATACTGTAGTGTTTTGCTCACTTCTGACCAAAGTTATTGCAGGTTAACTCAGGTCACACGAGAAATTAGGTCGTATGGTATAATCTGACCTGTGTGTGAGGCAAACACACACGTGGATAACCTGACTACAACACTGATACTGTTGAGCTTTTACCATGAATAAAGAGCCCACCTGCTGATCAAAACCCACAAACTGTGAGGAGCTTCCACAGCATGAGGCACATTCCCTATAACCACTTCAACATCCTGTGCAATTTTAATACCGTTTGACCTTTACTCTAAATTAAACATACATACATCATACTTTATTTTGAGTACAAATGACTCGCTCCTATTTTATTCAATAGCTACCATACAGAACACAAAAGCTTCTTGATCATTGCTTTTTTATTACCCTTAATGCAACACTGATATTGTGGAAATGAGACTAGTGTAAATCTTAATGCCGTGTGACACAGAAGGCACTTCTATAAATAATAATGAAACATCCTGCAGTGAGATAAAAAAGCAGAGACGTTAGCATTCAGTTTAAATTATGTAGATGTCTTGAACTGAACTGAAACCATTTGAACTGCATCTCCTTGAATTATTGAGCATCATTTAGTGAAAACACATTGAGAAAGATGCTGTCTTCTTTTTTCATTACAGGTGTTCGGTTGGTGAGATAACTGATGCAATGAAAAAAGTGTTTGGTGAACACAAAGCCAGTACCAGGATGGTGAGCGGTGCTTATCTCAGCGAGTACGGAGCGCACGAAGAGATCTCTGCGGCACACAATAGGTAGAAAATGCATCTAATCAGTGTCTTCACATTCATTATGATCTCACTGATTGCTGGGCTGGTTGACTCACATGCGTTTTTTTCCTATTTCTCTCCTCTTCAAATCTCAGAGTTGCAGAATTTAAGAAGCACGAGGGCAGGAACCCCCGACTGCTGGTAGCCAAGATGGGGCAGGACGGTCACGACAGGGGGGCCAAAGTCATCGCCACAGGGTTTGCCGACCTGGGCTTTGATGTGGATATCGGACCACTGTTTCAGGTCAGTGTGAGACAATAGCTATACATCTGCTGCAGTACAACACCACAGTTAAAATCTTCCCAGAAGCAGTTACTATACCCAGAAGCTACCTTTTAAGCAAGAGTTGGTCACATGAACTCAAATCTCATTGTATTTGTGCAATACTTGTAAAATGTAAAACTTATAGTCAGTAATAAAAGGTAAAAGATCTGCTTTACTTGATAAGATACACCTATTATAGATGGACTTTTGATGGTTAACCGAACATTTATTAAAGATACTTATTATAGTAAGTAGGCCTCTACTAGACCAGTGATTCTCAAACTTTTTTCAATAATGTACCCCCTACAAAAATTTAGCCAAGTACCCCTTGATCAGCGCAAAAACTATTTGTTAGGGAAGAAAAGCCTATATAAAGAGGTACAGTACAGCGCTGCACCATCAGTGTCTGATTTATTAAAACAACAACATTGTAACTGAGAAACACTTAAATGCTACATTTCATATGTTTACAATCCATCACTAAATTCATGGCCAACCAATTTTAATATCATGCAATAACACTAAGATGACATTATTGCATTGAACTGATCTGTTTAATAAGTTGTACTTACAATTTAGTGAGAAACATGGGCTTGTGCTTCACTGAGGAGCTTTGTCATTCTGACAGGATGCAGTTATTACACTACGCGTTTTTAAATATGTGTAACTCTAGTCCATTAATATAAAACCCACACTGCTCAAACTTTGTTACTTTTCCTAAAATTGGTATATTTATCTATATATATATATTTTTTACATTAACATAAAATAAATCTCACGTACCCCCTGCAGTACTCCAACGTACCCTAGGGGTCCGCGTTTTGAGAACCACTTTACTAGACTGTACGTGATAAGATATTCAATCAATCTTATATGACTGAAAGAGTGTTTCTTCTCATTTGTTATTCTTCTAGTGTTCTACCAATTATCCCTTTGTTATTTTCTGTAAGAATGTACAAGTTGGCAAACTCTTAGATGCTGAAAGGACTCTGAATTGGACTTTATTGAAACCAGGTGCACTGAAAAGTTCAAATTCTTCACCCTGTGCCTAGTGCCAGAGAGTGTGAGGGCCAATAAACAGTACAGTACATAGGCGTAGGAAGCATCCTCAATGTTGGAGGGACAATTTGACAGGGGGTGTGGGCGGGTGGTGGAACTCACCTCCTCTAGGGGGGTCCGGGGGCATGCTCCCCCGGGAAGAAGATTTTTTTAAATGTTGAAGTTGAACGCATCAATCTGCTGCACTTTGAGAGCAACATTAGGGACTAAATGTATGGATACATCTCTCGTCAATACCCATGTGAAACAGAACTGTAAACAGATTTACTTTTTCTTTATGCATATTTTACAAATCACTCCCCTTTTAACCTGTATTTTTGTGATACTGTCCTATAGTATGAGTTGGAATTATTTCATACCTGTTATTCTCTTGTTTTTTATAACTATAATGATCATTTAAAAGTGTGCCTTTGAAATACTTATTTACATAAATGATTACCAAACCGTTTGAGACCTACTACTTAGACTAAAGTGAACTATCTAACCTCTCAGAGAGTCCTTTAC